AGGCTAGGCATAGCTGGAATTTTCCATCCTCCTGCCTCAGCCTCCAGAGTAGCTGGAGTTACACAGGTGTGCGGCACCGTGCTCGGCTCTGAACCTGAATCTTCAGTGGTTAGATGTTGCCCGGGTGGTGCAGCTCTTCAGGAGAGTGACACATTCTTGGAGGAGATCTGCTTCTGTGGTTGATAAGGAGAACAGACGAGCCTACGTTTCCTCCTTACTGGCCCAGGGTTTACACCAACAGCAGGTGCAGCCCTCACATTGCTCTTACCATATGGCTGCTGTATGTCTGCTGTTGCTCCCAGCTCCAGTGCCAAGTCACTCTTGAGAGACGATGGAGTAGGGGCGTTGCTGCAGGTGGGAGGACCCTAAAGAAGTCCCTCAGCACCCTGGCAGCCCACACTTAGAAAGTGTCTTCTTCCAGGGCCTGGTTGCTTTCAAACAGTAGGACACATTAAAATATCTGGCCAGCCATACCATGGAAACAGGAAATCTGTGGTGTTCTGATTTTAAACCTATTAGAACTTTATACTGAGAAGAAGCACTGCTGTTTCCCTCCCCAGAGCTCCCCATAAACATCTCAGTCACGGGTTTGAACTCGCCCTATCAGCTGATCTACCGGTCTTCTACAAACTGCCTGAGCTTCTCCCTATCCACAGGGAAGGAAACCAAGAAGAAAGCAGGTGACTGGGCCCCCAGTAGCTCTTCCAGCTCACAGCAGAAGGTGGAATGGGGGCTGGGAGAGACAGAGGCCGTCAAGGTGTCCAAATCAGAGCTCTGGTTAGAAGGCTGTGCAGCTGCCCTGGGGGACAGCCAGCTGGGGTCACCAGAGCCCTGTCCTTCTGCACACTGCTCATCTGAAGGTGTCCCATTTCCCATCCCCTCTCTGGCCACAACCCACCCCACATACAGCATGCTATGCTCCGAGAGCACCCTGTGCTGTAGCCAAGCAGCAGATGCTGGCGTTTGTCCAGAGCTGTTTGGACACCCACTAAATCCAGCTGCTTGCAGAGAAAGGTACATACACAGGGGACTCCCTGACCTGCTGATGGGAGGGAGAAAGAGGAGGAAGGGGTAGGTGGTAGGTGGGTGTAGATAGAGGGCAGCTCTGGCCTCACGGGGCTCTGGTGGCCCAGTGAGCCCTGCTGGTGCCCATAGCACAGACATGGGTACCAGGAGTGTGATTTTACTCTGCCACCCATGGTCATGTGACTACCCACCTCAGCCATATGCCCTCCCTGGAAAGATGATTGGTCCTGGATGGGCAGAGATATCCCCATATCTGAGCCACTCTTGCTGTTGTCCCTGCTACTCCCTGTGGTTCCCTTACTCTGCCCCATCAACCCTGTTGTCCCCTTCATCACCAAAGAGTGGCCACCCAAGGACACTCACCTCTGGAGCACAGATGACCTCCCCAGGGATCTGCCAAGCCCTTTCCTACCCCTAGGTGACCCAGATAGGAAACTCATTTTCCTGAAACTCCAATAACCTCTTGCCTCCGACTGCAGGTAGATCAAAGATGCTGGAAGATGCATACAGCACATCCCCCTACCTGCACACAGTGGGCACCTCTCCTGACAACACCATGGAGTTCATCGATCCCTGCCCCGAGGCCCACGAGAAGCTGCAGGAGATGAGTCGCCTCGTGTGAGCATGGGTGGTGGGGTGGGACAGGCATTCCTGGGGAACTCTGTGTGCCCAAAGGACAGCTCAGAAGAGCTGGACCATGCTGAGCCCATGGGCCTGGCACTTCACAGCCCCAAGCCCTTCTGGTCTGCAGAGGAGGCACAGGACAGCCTGGGCAGTGAGGAGCTGCACCCTCGCCTGGCTGCCCTTGGCCCCGCAGCAGCTGCCTGGCTTAGGCACCTTGGTGTGGCACCCACGCTGGGCCTAGCATTTGTTTCTTAACATGATCAGCCATCTGTTCTACTGGAAGAAAACATGCACCTCTCAGAACAAATAAAGAGCATTGCCATGGGTGACTCACAACATTGATGATTTGTGGGTACACAAGGCTTCCCCAGGGACTCACTGTTTCTCTTAGGGCGCAGACCACAGAGAATGCACAAACTAATTTGCATCTCATGCCCAAGTCTCATTGCCACTGGGGCACAGAGTAGAGTATGGGCAGGGACAGCCTTCCTGTCTGTGGTGGTTTGGGGACATACCAGAAAGACTCTTAGCTCCAGAACCTCAGACTCTTGTGGCCCACAGTCCTTATCAGGCCAGTGTTCAGCTAGAGGCACTGCAGCCTTCCCAGTCCCTCCTCAGTGCTGCTAGGGAAGACGAGAGGTAGGTGAGGATGGGAGGATGGGGACAGGTATAAGGGGCATGCTGGTTTCCTTCCCTGCAGAGAGGCTGAGAAGGCCCTGTGGAAAAGGCGAAACGTCTTCTATCCCACGTTTTTTCTCAACTACAAGGCAAAGACGCCCTCTCAGCCAGTGTTGGCTGCCAGAGGGGACTTGCAGGGCTCAGGTGCCCATGCAAGTGTCCACGCCATGGCACTGACATCTGCATCCTGCTCTCACCAGCCTTCTGTCCAGCGGAGCCAGCATGCACAGGACTGGAAGACAGCAAAGAAGGCCTCCAAGATGCACTATGCCTTCCACGACGGGTCTTCCTCTGTGTAATATCCTTTCTCAGTGCCATCTTCATGCCCAGGACCTCCTGGCTCCTTGGCTGTCAGAGAGGCCTTCAGGGACCTCAGTGAGGGGTTGTGCATCCTGGGCACAAGAGCAGCAGATGAAGCCTCAGGTACATTTTGAGTTAGTTTTTCCATGTGATGTGAGATATGGTTGAGTTTCATTCTTTGGATGTCAAGGGCCAGTTGGTCCAGTTTTTCCCCATTGAATGAGTTCCTTAGTCCAAATAAGTAGACTGCAAATAAGTCATATCGCACACTCAGTTGTAATCTGCCAATCTAGCTTGGGTCTGTCCTCAGGCTGTACCCCACTGTCTTTATTATTGAAGGCTTCTATAAGTTTTCATATCAACAAGTGTGAGCCTTCCCAGTGTGCTGTTCCTTTCCAAGACTACTTTGGTTATTTGGTATCTCTTGCAATTCCATATGAATTTTGAGGTCAGGTTTTCCATTTGTGCAGACAGGGCCAGTGATCATGCTAGGAATCCCACTGATTCCACGGATCACTTTGGCCACTAACAGGATTACATTATCTGAGCCTGAACACAACCAGCCCATGCTGGGAAACACTGTGTGAACAATGGGGCTGGGAGGGATGGCAGGAAAGGATGCCAGGTGCAGTAGTGTCAAGAAGACTAAATTACTTAGGAATAGAGCCCAAGGGGGCGCAAGACTTGCACTCTGAAAACTATGGACTATTACTGTAGGAAGCCAGACCTGCATAGGAGTAGGCTACCCAGGTCCATGCAGGGCAACTGACTTTTGTATATTGGCCTTGCGTCCTGTAACTGTGCTAATTTGTCAGCTGTAGGCTTTTTGGGTACATTCTTTCGGATTTTCTATATATTAGACCCTGTCGTCTGCAAGAAATATTTTTACTGTTTTCCCTAATTGGAGGCTTTTCATTTTTTGGTTGCTGTTGTGCCTAGTCAGAGGCTGTGGCCAGCATACCTAGTACAATGAGCAAAATGACAAAAAGCAAGCCTCCTTACTTGTTCTTAATCTGAGAGAACTTTTTCAGTCTCTAACCACTGAGTATGCCGTTGAATATGTTTTAGACCTGTGTGCTTGCCCAGTCTCAGATGTACTCCATAGGTGGCCTTTATTATCCTGAAACAGTCTCCTCCTATGCTGAATTTGTTGAGTTTCTCTTTTTTAGCACAAAAGAGTGTTGGACTTTGTCAGATGCTTACTATTTATTTTTTAATGTATTTTAGTACAGGGTCTACAGGGTCTCACTGCATAGATTGGACTCATAGTGATTCTACTGTTTTCAGCCTCCCAAGTGCTGGGATTACAGGTGCACGCCACCATGCCCAGAGGCCATCTCAGCGTTCCCTGGGGGTGGAGCCAGTATGGCACACCAGGGGCTCAACCCTGGCTGCTACGCTCTGCCTAAGCAGGCCCTTTAGTCTGCTGAGCTATCTGGCTGGCCCTAGATGCTTATTACTGATCAATTCAGGTGACTATGTGTTCACCTTTATTCCATTGCTATGGTACATTGTGTTGAGTGGTTTTGTAGGTGAACAACCTGCATCCCTGGGCAAACCCTGCTGGGTCTTCACACACAATTCTTTAATATGCTGTTGAAGATTGTGTGTGTGTGTGTGTGTGTGTGTGTGTGTGTGTGTGTGTGTGTGTACACGTGTGCGAGCAAGGGACACTGGCCTGAAATTCTCTCATGTCTATGCTGGGCTTGGTGTCAGGATAGCACTGGCCTTGTAGACCAGGGGAGGAAGTGTTCAGGTCTTCTCTAACTTTGGATGTTGGTGAGGAGGATTGAGGTTAAATCCCTTTAATATGCTTGGTACAGCTCACCAGTGAAGGCAGCTGGTCCCAGGCTCATCTTTGTTAGATTTTTGTTTGTTTTTCTTCTCTCTTTACTTGCTCTATATCTGCTCTAATCTCTTCAATCATATTTGGTAGTTTTGTGTTTCTCGGAATTTGTTTCCTCAAAGTCATCTAACTTTTCGGTATAGAATTATACATTTTTTCTTTATAATCTTCTGTATTTCTGTGAGGTTAGTAGTACTGTTCCACCATTGTTTCTGATCTTAGGAATCTGAGTCCTCTTTTACATATTCAGTTTTGTGGGTTTTATTGATCCTGCCAAAGAACCAACTTTCAGCTTCATTAGTTCTGTATTTCTGCATTATTTTGCCTTTCTCCATTCTAGTTCCCCCTATTTCCCTCCTCCCAGCTTTTCTATAACAGAAGATCCCTCCATCTCCTAGTTGATATACTTCAGTTTGTTAGCTGCCCAGGTATTAGTTCTGGTTACAGTTCCTGCCACTTTTATTTCTTAGAAATGGCTGGCTACTGTGATGCACAGTTGGTCACTTTGATGCATATCGTAAGAACCAGTCCCCAATTGACAAGCTATTCTGCCTCTGTCCTTCCTGCTTGCTTATCCCTTGTAAGCCCTAGACCACCAGAGATCAGGGTTCTGATATTCTGGGAATAATCCCAAACAGTGCCTGTCGATGTAAATAAATATGCCTCCAAATCCTGGGGGGTGTTTTGATGTTTCTGTTTGACATTGCATCTGGTCCATCAGCCGGGAAGACCTACCATGATGACTTCTTTGGTCATGGGCCTCTTCGACAGAGCAAGGACCTCTCCAGGTCCTGATGGGAAGGTGTACCCTGGAGATTTCTAAGGTCCCCTCAGAGGTCTAGAGGAGGATTCCTGGATTACTGCTTGAGTGACTCACATTGAACCCCAAAAGGAAGAGGAGGCAGTCTGTCTGTTTGCCTGTGTGATTCCAGTAAGAATCACTGGGGGTACCGCAGTTAGTATGTTTTTCATCCTGCTCAATTTGAGTGGAAGGGGAGTCTCATCAACTCTCTTTAGTCAGGACCACCCTCAAGGGAAGAGGGTTGGAATGTGTAATCTCTGTGTGTCTGCTGAATGATGGTGTGGATGAGTAGAATGGACAGCTTAAGCAGTAGGCTGCTCCACTGTGCTCCAAGACTGGGAAGCCCTGGTTGTGGTGGCTGATTGGGCCCTCACCTGAGATTCAGTGGCATTCAATGTATGGTATAACAGATGTCTCAACCCTCCTTAGCTAAGCTGCACCTAAGTCCTCACAAGGGATGCAGCCAGGTGGGCATCTGAATGGTCTCTCTCTGAGGGGCCCCCACCCTATGCTGTTACCCCATCATTCAAAGGCACACAACCCACACCTAAGAAGTCAGAGATGGGAACTATTTAGTCCAAACTCACAGTCCCTGACTGCAGGAAAAAGGGTTTTTACAGAGTTGAAAATGAAACCGAAACGCTGTTTAAGTCTCAAAAAAAGAAAAGGAAAAAAGAAGCCCATTCTTCCCAAGAAGTCCATCTTTGCACCCTCGTTGGCCATCACAGTTGCTGCCAACGCCTATAGCTTCACTTTCCACTCCCAGCTCCTCCTCTTCCAGCTAGCTGAACTGGTTCCAGTATCCATTGCCCGCATTAGGCCCCAGAGGCCCTCCCCCGAGCCTTCTGCCATCTTGGTGCCATCTACTACCCACCTGAAATGACTGTCAGCAACGTTTTCTGAGTTTCAGTGAAAAAATGTGACTATCATCCCTGAGGAATGAGTTGCCAAGGCGTTTCCAAAGATCACCCGCTTAGAGACACCCAGTCAAGTGCCTCTTAAAGACATCAAAAAGGAATATAAAAAGTCCATCAACCACTGTTACCCAGAAATTGAAAAAAGAAAAGAACCTGATGTTGATAATAAGTCCAGTTTGATTGATGACCATACCCTTGGGCTAGGAGTTATAAGGGCTATGGACAAAAAATTTTAAAATGTCCCCTCCATCTGAGAGACATCTGACTATCCAGACCCACCTCAATCTGAACCTCTTCCAACCCTATTGGGCCTGGATGGATAGGATAGGCTGAGTTCTATCAAATTGAACCCCTGAGAGCCTGTGATCATTGCAAAAGTTGGGGATAAACCTGTGACTTTCCTGGTAGACAGTGGAACAGAACTCTCTGTCTTCAAAGGGTCCCCATGCCAAAGTTACCATCACCAGGACA